AGGGAGCAGAACTAACTAACAAGAATTGGCGCATGATGAACATTTGGTCAGTTGTTGATTTTGAAGCCACATTAACACACAATACTCTCGATAGAACCTTAGACATATACGATGTCTCTCTTTTTTTGTTTGCCAATGATTTGAAGAAATTGTCGTATCTTTTAAGACTTGGAATAGTCTTTAAATGAGGTTATCTGTTGGTTGCCGAAACCACCGAAAAGAGTTTTGCTTAAGGAAAGGATACACTTCCAGGTGAGAAAACTCTCCAGACGTTGATAGAGAAGAGATTTAGTAGGGGAGGCCCATACTATCTCAATCTCTACTTAAAAAGTCTTGATATCGCTCCCTTTTTCCGTCAACCAAACACAGCCAGTGTCTACCAAGCGGATGTTCTAGGCATAGAGGAGGCCTTTAGAGTTCTCTGAATAATTCCTACCTATCACATCTTTGTTAGCTTTCCTTTTAAGAATCTCTTTAGTAATGTGCGTACGATGTTACCGAAACTTTTTTAAGATGCTTCAGATTTCCCAAGAATTTTAAAAGATTTTGTATAGTTTTGCAGTATTGACAAATAAAAACTCTGCTAAATGAATGATTTTCCTCATAATTTGCTGTAAATGTTATATATGTTACATATTTTGCTTTTTCTGTTTTATATTTTGAAAAAGTGGCAACTCTACTTAAAAAAATGTCATATTACAGACTTTGAAAGCACTTGTCGTTTGATGCCCATTTTGTATTATGTTTGGTTTTATTTTATTCAAATATGGACTACTCGATTTTACTCGAACTACGTATGTATCTCGAGATCTACGGCTATCTCGGGAACATGTTGAGATTACAAACTAAAGTGTAGCCGTAAAAAACTCTCTAGGGAGAGTAAATGTTAGCTACAAATTTGAAATCAAACGGGCAAGTAGTTTGAAGTCCACAGACAACATAGTAACCTAGAAATATTCATTCTTGCAAAGTATACCATAAATGAGAGATGTCATATTAGTTTCGCTTTAAAGAACTTTTTATCTCACATTTCCAATAAGTCTGAAAAAATTTAATAATAAACATGTCCCCTCTAGATTCAATGATAGTATGATATATGTGATATTTATGAGAGTGGCTATGGTGGCTAACTGACGAAGTCGAAACCTGAGTAGTACATTTGGTTGCTGTTCGTAAGTCAAAAACTTTCCAAAACTTACAAGCATGACAAGGTCAACCCTTGTTGTATGTAAATAGTGAACTGCATCATGTTTCCTTAGAGACCAAATAGTATTAAGTATAAACTTTTATTAAGTTCGTTGAAAGCTTTAAAGAAAGTCGTCAAATGCCAAACCGCGTTGAATGAATCCTAATAACCACCCACAACATGCAGCAAGAATTCAACTCCAGCCAATAAAGATGTTGGCTTGCATAATTGACAAGCCAACCAGACACATTGGCATCGGGTGCGAGAGAGCATGCAATGCACCCGAAGTATGACAGTGCATGTTGAACGCTGAAGCAACGGTTGTTAGGACGGGCGCTGGTTGCGAGGGCGCCAGGTGGATGGAGTGCAGTTTATGAATTTTTCAGATTCATATCTGCGAAAACAATAGCGCAATGTGATTTTCGGTCGAGGGCTGGGTCGATAAGTGCGCGAGTAATACAAATGCAGGGCCACACACACACACATATTTAACGGTATGTATTTATGTACTATATGACTATGATATCCACCAGTTTTGGCTGGGCAACTGGCGGGGCTGTCATTGCGTCCGTGCGTCTGCAAAGCTGCGTGTATGTGTGCCTTTATAACGGTGCGTTTGGCTCGGCGCTGGATTCCTTAGTCACACTTCAGCATTTCCGGCATTGCAATTCGCAAACGCGCTGTTTGCGTGTGCGTGCGAAATGAGACTATGCGCCTGTAGTGGTGTGTATTATGTATGTGTGTGCATGTGCGCGCCACAAATTGCCGCAAATAAAAGGGAAATCAACGGAATTTCGAAACATTTGAAAATTTTATGTCTTCATTTTCGGTTGCAAAAATTTCAGCATTTTATATGAGCAGCGGAACGGGTGTGTGCAAGTGTGTGTGTGTGTGTGTGCTGACGGGTTTGCATGACTGCCACATTGTCTCCTTCGGCACAATTCAGTTTCGGTTTCAATGTGGCGCGCTATGCTGCAGGTGTGGCTAGGCGGGGGGTGGTGTGTGTTGGCGGCATGGCTTGTGCATATTTCGCGTTTTATGTTTGGGGTTAATTTAATGATTTTGCAAGTTCATTGCGCGCAACCAAATGTGTTGCAGGCGTCAACGCTGTGCCGAGGCATCGGCGCTTTTATTAGCTGTATGCTTTTGCTTAGCACAAATTTGCAATCGTGTCAGGTGGTGTGTGCGGGGGCGGAGGTGGGTGTCCGGAGTGAACGCGCATAGAAAATCCATAAATTCATAAAATAATTGTGTTGCGCCATGCATACGGGAATGCGTTATGGATGCCCCCAAACGTGGCGAGAACGCACTGGCAGATATTTGTGTGTGTGTGCGAATATCAAACAGAGGGCAAGTCGATTAGTTAGTGTTTTTTCGGTTGCAAAAATCGGTGTTTGGCGTAAGATACATATAATATATATTTTCACTGAAATTGTCTCGGTTGATTCATGATCCAGAACTAGTTCTTAGCTTTTCAGCTTGGACTTTAAGCAAGTGTTCCTAAGCTTCTCTAATTATGGGCTTTATTGAGAGTTGAGCTTCTCATATATATCTTAACTTGATCCATATTCATAGGTTTTGAAATATGGCATTGCATATTATACCTCCTGCACCCTGAATGAGCGAAGCTTTTACATCTAAATTCATGAAGCTGGTATATTTTCAGCAAGAAGTTGAAGCTCAAGCCATGTGAGACAGTTTTCTTGTCCCTTCACTACATTTTTGACTTTCGTTCACTTATCAGCTTGACTTTGTGGAAAATTTCCATCTCTCAGAAGTCGACCATTTTCAAGGTCGCTAGAGTTCTGCACGGTTTTTGAATATCGATAAGTATAGGTTGGTTCATTCAGAGAACTTCGTTGAGGTGACAGGTATGTCAGTCGCTTGTAGAACTGGCAACGGTAAAAAAGGACTGTGGTATGTTTATATTTTCATGTCCGATTGTCTAGATGAAGGTATGAAATTTTCCAGCTCTAAAATATTCCTTTCCGATACCCGAATATAGTTTTTCAAGTTCTCTAAATTCCAAAGAAACGGTTTCTGTTAGAAATTCCAGCGAAGCACTGAAAAGTGGCATTGCTTGCTAAATGATCCATGCCAAATTTCGTAGAGATATCAAGTGAAAAAGTTTTACATACAAGGACTTGAGTTTGGTGGATCAGTTTGTATGGCCGCATTTTGGTAGAGTGGAAAAAAGGGCCGCTTTTTAGGGAGAAGAGGGCATGTGCAAAATTCCAGATCGATATCACAAAAACTGTGGGGCATCTTCTTCTTATTCTCTAATAGCGTAGGCAGCGCCAATTGGAGGTTCCAAGTGTCTTTCTCCACCTGATCTCTCCAACGGGGTACTGTGTCGAATACTCTCAGAGCTGGAGTATTATCAGCCATTCGGTCGGCATGACCCAGCCAGCGTAGCCGCTGTCTATATTTCGTTGAATTATTTCAATGTTATCGTTTATCTCACGTTCCATCGATTGCGGTATACGCCGCGGCCAATGCGCAAAGGACCATCAACCTTCCGCAGAAACTTTCTCTCAAAAATTCGTCCCACCGACTCAGCAGCTGTTGTCATCGTCCATGCCACCATATAGGAGGATGGGTATGATGAGGGACTTGTAGAGTTTGCTCGTTCTTCGTTAGGTGAGAACTTTACCTTTCAATTGCTTACGCAGCCCGAAATAGCATCTGTTGGCAAGAGTTATACTGATATCGAGGGTGACGTTCTTGGTTTTTGGCTCATTTGCGACTTTCCGGTTAATCGTTCGTTGTGGACGATTCGAAGAGTAACAACTTCCACAATATATAGGGTGGAATGTTTCGGTAATTTGAGTGGTATCAATCGGTTAGTATTCATACTAAAGGGTACAAACCGGATACGGAACGGTTACAAATCGGTTATTCGAAAAATCGGTCTTCAGATTATTCCAACAATTTTAAGAGCCATAATTCAAATTATTTGGTGCTATCAATGAGACTGTGTATCTCCGTTCATCTTTTTGTGGATAGAAATTCGAGGTTTGTGATAGAGCTGGGCATCCGCACAGAAAGTGTACAACCGTTTCCTAACTCAGAGTTTTCAGCGGCAAATATTGCTATCCGGCGTTCCGATTTTTGATGCGTGTTTGCCAAATGGCCAATATCCCATTATGGTGGCTGTAAGTTTATATGAATATATTTTTCCTGGATCTATTTAATAAGTTCTTACTTCTTGTCTTGTCATATTTGGGCCATATGTGTTTGATATCACTACCGTTCCTAGCTGGCACCGTCTCAGACTGGTCTAGAGAAGTTCCTGAAGAAATCACATTATGGACTTGAAATTGACCTGCCAGTGAGCCTTCAAAATCTCTCAAAATCCGCTGATTTATCGACCACCACTAGTATCAACTCCATATACTCACATAGGTGGCACATTACCTATAACTTGCAACAAATGCAGCAACGCGCGCTTTGTTTAGATTTTGTCGAAGAATTGCATATATACATCCACATACCTACACATACACACACCCACCCACATGCACAGCAAGTTATAATAAATGCGGCGCGTAGTGTAATTTTAGCAGGAAAAGCGTTCCAGTTTGGCCGCGCGGCTGTCGGTGCGCCGTGCGGTTACACAATTTATGGCGGCGTTGAATGGTTATTTCGCGCGCTGTAAATTCTAACGCTTACATTTTTACAGCTACGGCAATTTCTGGCACATAATTCATGCAACACTATCCATGCGCGCTTTTAATTAATTAGTTTTAAGTTGAATATACCAAAAATTAGCTCTCTTCCATTGATGCGAACGCGAATTCATTCTCATTTGCAGGCAAAAGCTTCACTCTGAGCATTGTGATATCGACCAATCCCATACAGATCGCCACCTACAACAAGGCGATCAAGGTGACGGTGGATGGCCCGCGCGAGCCACGCTCCAAGGTGCGTCATCCGGGTTTTCATCCGTTTGCCTTCGGACCGCAGCGTTTCGGACCCGGTGATCCGTTGATGGGTGGACTGCCGTTTAAGTTTCCAGGTAAATACATACATATATGTACATATATAGAGGTTTGATGTAGTGTATTGTGAAAGAAAGATGTACGAGATTAAAGAGCTGCAGAATCGGTAGTAAATCTGTTCAGAGAGACATTTTTGACCAGCATTATTGACACTGTTGCTGGTATTGGTGATTACCCAATTAAGAGGTTATGTTTAGGTTAGGTTCGAATACTGTTTATGAAGGCGGGAAAACGCTTTCTCTATATATACAGCTGTTTGTGAAGTCGGCAAAGCTCATCGAGCTACCAAAAAGTGTGAGCTCTCATGTGTTTAAGCTTAGATTTCGCAAACGTAGGACAATCAAGAATGAAATTGTTATAGGTTTTCCCCACGCTTCTTTCAAGCGGCTGGTTTCCGGTAAGACTAACAACGTTACTGAACCCCTACAATGAGGAAAGGCTAATCTTATTCTAAAGGTTGTAGAGCTTACTAGACCTCTTATGATCCACTTTGGATCGATACTACAAGAACTAATGCTAGCCCGCTGTTGGTCGCGAAACCCATTTATGCCGCAGTAGAACGCAAAACTAGAATTTGAAATCTACCTTCGATTCCGCTGTGGCCTAGCATCTATTATATCATACTACGATGTTACTCGGTGTAGTTGATATCGAAAATAGGGATTTTTCAACTAGCCTCCAACGCCGGGTTATTCTCTTCGTTACTTCTCTGAAAGAGGTCACGCTCCAGAGCAGTAGATCTAATTCTCTCTTAATGGCATGAACCCTGGCTTTAAAAACAAATGATCTGAATGATCTTAAAACTTTTCTGCGGTCGTAGTCGATGAGCTCCCATTGCTCAGGGAACAAGAAGCCCAAGTGTGGTTTTCTAGCAGACTTAACTGCAAGAGATACTATCCCGGAGTTCTAACTTGCTACTGTCAACTTTTTCAACTCTCATCTGAAGTTCTTTTATATATAACCGGCTGATTTCTGGATCTTCTGATAGATAACTTCGTACATAACCTTACATTAATGGACTAGCTAAAGAATTGATGACTTGTATTATCCACAGTGTTATAGCATAATCCTAGGTTCTTTATATATATACATTTATAGCTTTCACTGTTGAAAGCTTTAATGCCAAGCTTAGTATTCATTTCAAACCCGTCAATTTAACAGCACTTTTCAATGCTCGTTTTTGGTTGTTCAGAGAAAATTTCACGCCAATCAGCAGTCGGTTATCCGCTTTCACTGTATCATGTCAGGGATTTGTTGATGCCAGCGGCAAAAAAGCGTGAAATCACTTGTTGTTGCTGGTAAAACTGTTGCTTCCCAACGCCGAGGGGATACTTTGCATACAACAAATAGATATGCGGCTCCACGACTGCCACTTTGTTGTCATCGAGCTTGCTTTGAAAGGCATTATGCGGCCAATATTTAAAGTGGCTTGCCGACGTAACAACCTACCGGCCTACCAAGGCTCTACAGCAACACAATTGGCTTCGCATGAAAAATCGCTCAAGGCGCTGGCGTGTCGCAAAGTATTAAATTACCATAAAATAGGCAAACAAAGTCATCGGCTAAGTAAATCATTAAAACTCATTTACGAAACATTTGAGGCTGATTTTGTGCGGATTTCGAATTGAAATTTGCCTTTAGGGGGCGCAGTTCGGTGAAATTTCATCTACAAAATGTGTTAGCTGTTTTGAATTAGGCGCATTCGATTCACCACTTTTGTAGTCGATGTGTGAGAACTCTATTCGATTTCTTAGACATTTTCTGTAAACAAGTTTTAGTTGTGACGTATAAAAATACAAGAGAGTAATTAATTAAACTTTTGGGTATCAGTTGTGTGCCAGTTCACTGTTTGATTCGTCACTTCATTGTTCGCTGCACAACGAGTTTGCATGAAATTTGGCGGCTACGAAGTCATTGAAAATATCTCCGAAGGACTTTTGGGAATCTATTTTATCATGAACAAAAGTATTTGAGTCGCAAAAAGCATTCAGCGAAGATCATGAATTTATTAAAAACTTGTCCCGTGAGAGGTCAATATTTTTTGTAATGAAAATAACATCGAAAAAGTTAAAGAAACAGTGATTAAGCATTGGTATTATCAGAGAGAAAAGCTCTGGTTCCCTAAAAATAAATTTACTTCTTCTTCTTCATTGGCGTGATATCGTTTACGTGGTTAAAACCGAGTTTACATTAGTGCGCTAGTGGTACTTCGTTTTCGTTGTTTGACGCTGATTGGAGACTCCAAGTGCAGACAGCTCCTTTTCCACTTAGTCTTTCCAATTAAGTGGAGGTCTTCCTCTGCTTCCAACGGCGGGTAGCGCGACGAATACTCTCAGAGCTGGGGTGTTTTCATATATTCGGAGCGTAGCCGCTCTCTTGATTCTCTGACTTATGTCAATGGTATCGTATATCTCATAGCGTTCATCGTTACATCGAATGTGATATTCTCTGTGGCCAACGCGCAAAGGACCATAAATCTTCTGCAGAACATTTCTCTCGAAAACTCGTAACGCCGATTCTTTAGATGTTGTCATAGTCTGCACCATGTAGCAATTGATTTTTGTTCATTGAGAGAGGACTTTACTTCTCAATTTCCTATTTTGTTCGAAGTAGCATTTGTTGGCAAGAGTTATTCATCGTTGGATTTTGATAGGGAGTCTCCTTGTCACACGCCTCGGGAAGGTTCTTTCCGATCCTGTTAGAGTTTTTGGTGTTGCTCAACGTCGTCTTACATAGTCGTATTAGCTTTGCAGATATATCAAGTTCAGATATATCAGCATGAAACTAGTTCGTTTTCGTGCTCTCAAAAGCACTGACTTAGGTTTGAAAAATTTCTTCTAAGATTCAACAGGTCTAAGATCAAAGCTCAGCTCCTGAAAAATGTTAGAATTTTGATTGTATACGATATTTTAAGAGCTTCAAAGGCTTTCTAAAAAAGCTGCTTGGTACTCTTACTTTTCAATTTCGAAATATTTATCCCTCCGTACTCCCTCTCAAACATCGAATTGTCTTAAACGAGTGAAATGCAAACTCCAGAATGTTCACACTTTTGTTTCACAGCCTCTTTATTGACATCGAAATCTACCGTTAAGCCCGAAAAGCCATTCGCTTTCCAACTTCGCTCAACAGAGTAATAAAATTACGCTCTTTAGCCCTTTCTTTTGTCACCCATCGACAGCGTCATAATTACTAAACGACGCAACAAAATTGTGCCAAGCTTGAAACTGCCGAACCGTACAACGAACATGCACACACTCACACATAAGCATTTCGCCGTCGCCTTATTAAAGGATTAAACATTTTAATGGATTTTATGAGCGCCGTCTTTAGCAACACCATCTTATTTAGGTTGCAGATGCGTGGCAAGCCTACACGCTGCCACACACGCTGCCACACACACTCATACTCACACATACACAAGTGTATCAGTCGCGCGACACATTGCCTCTGGGTGCTCCTTGTTTCGTCGTCTTTTGTTAGTTTAATCGCTGCTGTGCATTTGGCTGTTATTTTCTTTGCTATTTGCTTTATTATTTTAAGTGCTGTTGTTGTTGTTTTTGTGGTTGTTATTGTTACTGGCAACTGGTTGCTGTTGCCAGTGATTATAGCTGATGACTTAAGTGTATGCAGTGACATCATTTCGGTGATTATTATTGAGTTGAGTGACGCGTGATTTGGTGGCTGGGAAGAGAGTCTCCCGATAACAATTCAGGGGCTTGATTTGTTTAGAAGTCCAACTCTTTTGATTTGACAAATTACTTTCGCCTCTCTTTGAAATTTTCACCTTTTTTAGAATATTACACTTTTCCACATATTTGCTATAGTTCCGAACTACTAGGACCGTATATATATATATGGATATAGAGATTGAATGGACTGAGATATGGGGAAAAAGGCAAGACAGTCTTAGAGAGAGGGAGAGAGTCGTTCTGACTTACTATATCTAGCCAAGAGCGGAAGAGAGAAAGAGAAGGAGAGAACCGTGCGCTGCTCCTAGTATTTGGAGAACTCGTGGAGGTAAAAAAAGAAAATGAAAACTGAAAAGAAGAAAGGAAAAGATTATAAAGAAACCGAGAAAAAGCAGGAAGGGAAGAACATGGAGGGAAAGAGACACATGAATAAATAGATAGAGAGCAAGATCTTCAGATTTTCAGAAAAAAATCATAACTCCATCTGACTAAGCACAGAGATAGTGCAAGTATCGAAGGACTAGTTGAGTGTGAAAGAGAGAAAGAGAGAATTACGTGCCGCTCTTCGAATATTGTGAGTTTACTGAGGGAAAAGAGGAAAAAGTAGAGAGAAAAGAAGAATGCTTGAGAATATAATGAGGTACAGAAAAGATGGAAGGGAAATAGACACAGAGAGCGAGAACTTTAGAAAATCAAAAAAGAAAATCTCTTATCTCCATTTTGCTAGATACTGAGATAGTGCAAGCTTCAGAGGAATAGAGAGAGCGAAGAAGGGATAGATAAAGGCAGAGAGCTATGATCTATATGTCGAATTCGAATAATTTTCTAAGCAAAAGAAGGAAAAGGCAGAGAGCAAAGATGAAATAATATATAAACGGAGATTAAAAAGAAGAGGCAGTGAAAATATATATATAGAGAGAGTAAGAGGAAAAGATATAGATAGAGAGTGAGGTTTTTACTTTTTTCAAAACAAAATATTTGCTAGCTTCTGAGGAAATGCTGAGAATGAAGGAATGAAAGAGAGACCAGAGAGATGGAGTAAAAGAAAGAAGTAAAAAGTAGAGAGATAAGATGAAATGGAACAACTATATAGGAAGAGATAGGGAAAAAGAGGGAGAGAATGAGATAAAAAGAGAAATAATAATAAAGATATGGACTGAGAGCGAGGTGTCTAGATTTTCAAAAAACAAAAAACAACATATTTGCAACCTTTGAAAGAGTGAAGGAGAGGTAGAGAGAAGGAAAGAGCTGTCCCTTACATGTCTACTTCGAAGAATTTGTTGAACGAAATAAGGAAAAGATAGATGGAGCAGAAGAGAGGGTAGTAA